ATGATAACATATACAAAGTGGGTTACTGACACTATTTGTACTATGATTTTGAAATATAAATGACAGTGGAAAGTGATAATGTTGTCATTTTAGTGTTACTGATCCAAATGAGAACAGGTTCTGTGTGAGAGTTCATGTATGTGCAGATACATATGTATGTACAGGTGCACATATGTATGAGCACAGGGGGCAGAATGTTAGCATTCAGGCATCTGTACTGGCCTGCCCTTGGGGTTCTGACAGGATACACCCTCAGCTGCAGCCACTAAGAGAATGACCTGTGCACATTCTTTATGTTTCCTTTTAAAAGGGCCCTGCCCACCTCCTCTCTCTCTCTCTCTCTCTCTCTCTCTCTCTGTCTCTCTGTCTCTCTCTCTCTCTCTCCTTCTCTGTCTCTCTGTCTCCCCAACCCCTGCCTCTCTTTTCTCTTCTGCTCCTGTCCCCAGAGGCTGGTCTCCCTCCTCTTTTTCCCATTCACTTTCCCCTAATTAAAAAAAAACAAAAAACAAAAAACAAAAAAACTTCCACATGCATGAGCTCTGTCTTTCTCATGCTGCTTTTAAATTATAACACAGAAGACATTTCTGATGCCATTCTTTGGGTACTGTATACCTTTCTTTTGTACTTTGAGACTGGATGTCACTGAAACCTGGAACTTGCTGTTGAAGCTAGGCTGACTAGCCATAAGCTCCAGGGATCAGCTTTGTCTCCACTTCCCCAGTTCTATATATGCCACTCTGCCCAGATTTTTTATGTGGAGTCTGGGAAATGATTCCAGGTTATCATGATTGTACAACAAGGCAAGCATTTTACCAACTGAGGATCACCAGAGAAACCGAATTCTTGATCAGGAGAGTATATGAACATGTGGCAGAAAATGACAATTCTATAGGAACAAAATCCTTGGCTTCCTGTCAATGTTTTTGGTGTGGCCAATTTTTGCTAAGAGTGGAACGATATTGGTATGTGATAGCCCTGAAAGAATAGGAGCCATGGGAGAGAGGCTTTTGTGTATCACCAGAGGCCTAAAACAGAATCATTTAGATATACAGAGATGGCTCATCAGTTAAGAGTATGTGCTCTTCCAGAGGACCAAAGTTCAGTTCTCAGCACCCATGTTGATCAGCTCACAACTCCCTGTTTAACTCTAGCTCCAAGAGATCCAATGCCTTCTTCTGGACTCTGTGGGCACTTCACATGCATGCATGCATGCATACATGCATGCATGCATACATACATACATACATACATACATACATACATACATACACATTTTAAAAATTAAATAAAAATGTAAAAATAAATATATCATTCACAGATAACATCATGCACACACGTGTGTGTGTGTGTGTGTGTGTGTGTGTGTGTGTGTGTGGGTGTGTTTAAGAGAAAGAGAGAAAAAAGGGAAAGAAAGAAATCCTGACAACGATTTTTGTCATATAAACCTGTGCCAACTACATCTGTCTTTGGAACTAATTTTTCTCATTTGCATGTGGGTTGCATTTTTTCCCAATTTTCTTGAGATATCTTATGTAGCTCAAGCTGGACTCCAGCCCCTTATATATTCAAGAATTACCTTGAATTTACCATTTTCTTGTCCCCCTCTCCTGTATACTGGGATTACAAATCCTGTGCCACTGAGTCAGGTTTACACATGGGAAGCAGTGTACACAAGGTTAACACTCTACCCACTGAGCTATATCCACAGCCCTGTTATGTTCATAATTGAAGAGAAAAATCTCGACTTTTTGAAGCAATTTTAGAGCCCCGAGAGAACCAGGAGGTACATATTTGGCAGAATGTGACCCTGTGGACTATTCAGAAACCCCAGCACGGGCTTCCTGCTTGGTGAAATCCCTGGCGCATACTGCCCAGTGGTAGCTCGTGTCTGTGTACCTGGTGAGCCACCTGCACTGCAGTGCACGGATGTGTTTACCACCTATTACTTGAATTTATGCAGCTAGTTTTTGGTGGCTGACCTGAAGGACCCGGCTTTCTTCTGTACTGTACCAGGCCCCTGAGGCTCCATTAAAGAGACAAGAAGAAGTGTTTCAAGGGCTGTGCACAGGGCTGCAAAGGCTCTCCTGTCCTCCCTTCACTGTGGAATAAAGTGAGCACAGAGTTTTCAACAAGTAAGAAACAGCTGAGAAATCAAAGAGAAAGGTATCTAGGCACACTGTGGCAGAAATTTGGGTTTATTCACCAACATCTGATTCTCACCTTCTTCCACACTAAAAGGACAACCAGTCGTCCTCTGGACACCTATCTACAGCGGAGACCTATTTACCAGTTTTCTTAGGTGTGGCTCTGTGATTAAAGTCCCTTCAAGGAGGTAAGAGTTATGACCTATGGAAGATTCTAGATGTCATCTTACAAGACAGCTGGGGGCTAATGAGGGGATGACTGTCAAGCTAGTCCCTCATGGTGAAAGGAGAGACCCTCTGACTGGAATACTCATGCTGTAGTGCGCACGCACACACACACACACACACACACACACACACACACACACACACACACACACACACACGCACACACACACAATACAAAAAACACACACGTACACACACACACACACACATACACGGGCAGACAGACAATAAGTAAACAATACACGTAAAGGTTTTCTTTTTAAATTGTTGGCATGCACTCTTTACCCTCTACAAACTATTCTTGTTTTTTCTTCTGAAAAAGTGGAATGTGGGTACAATGACTGGAGCTAGAGCAGCTATTTTGGACTGGACCATTAATCACACCAGGGAAGTGGGGCTTCATCTCACAGGAAAATGAGAGAAGTCAGAATCCTCATAGACTCAGAGCTACAATACCAGCCCCACACCGACTACCTAGCAATTTATTTATGAGAAAGAAACAGCCTTTTAGCTTATGTAAGCCATCACTATTTTACAAACACGTTCCTGAAAACTCTAAGTAATGTACTTGGATGTCTTTATTTACATGATGCTGATATCAACTGTGAAATAGTTAAAAATTACTCTCTAAAGGAAAAATAACAGATGTCTAGCAAATATACAATCACAGTTTGTGTGCAGCATAAATTTAAATAATATTTAAGAATATCTGTGAGAGGGCACAGGCATCTGATCAATTTCTTTTCTATTAAAGACAAGGTGGTACAAATTACTTTGTTCTTCCTAGTCATATCTTCTAGGACATGCTGTGGAAGCTGGCAATTCTTTTAGGAAAGTTTATGTTTTGCATAAATTGTTAGAATAAACAAAATCTGAGGGAACTTGAGTTTAGAGTCAGTGAGAGATGGCTAAAATGGGAATTGCTGAATAAAATGCACCAAATCTGTCAAATTTGGGCAACTGTGTATTTACTCACTCTGGCTGTGATGGCTAATACTGACTGTCCACTTGAAAGGATCTAGAATCACCAAAGAGACATGCCTCTAGGCATAACTGTGAGATGGTTTCTAGACTGAGTATATGGAGGTGGGAAGACTCTCCTGAAATAGATGGGATCCATTCCCTGGGTTGAGGTCCTGGCCTGAATATGATCTGAGCACCAGCATCCATCTCTGTCTGTTTCCAGACTGTGGATGCCATGTGATCAGCTGCCTCACACTCCTGCTGCTATGATTTCTGCACCATGATGGACTTAATATTTGAACTGGACGCCAAAATAAACCACTCTTTCTTCAAGTTCCATTGGTGAGACAGTCTGTCACAACAATGAGACAAATAACTAATAAACTGTCCTGAGGTCAATGCACTGCCAGACAAAGAAATAATCAGAGTTTTTATGTTTATTTTGTATTGATCCAAAATGACTCCCGAGTAACTGCTCCCCACCCTCTTATCTCAAATCTCCTCCAGGATCTTGAGGTAAAAGGGTGTTATCAACATGCCCATTATACAGACAAAGAATTCAAGGCTTGAGGGAATTAGAAAACTTTTCTAATCTCAAAGACATTTTGTTGAGGCTTAGGCCCTGTGGTGGTGTGAAAGAAAATGGCAGCATTAGGAGGTGTGGCTTTGTTGGAGTGTGGCCTTATTGGAAGAAGTGTGTCACTGTGGAGAACTCTCATATATGCTCAAGCCATGCCCAGTGTCTCAGACCACTTGCTTGTGAGTCAAGATGTAAGGACTCTCAGTTCCTGTTCTAGTACCATGTCTGCCTGCATGCTGCCTTGCTTCCTGCCATGATGATAATAGACTAACCCTCTGAACTATAAGATTATGCCACCACGATTAATTTTTTTTTTCCTTTAGAAGAGTTGCCATGATCATGGTGTCTCTTCAAGGCAATACAAGCCCTAACTAAGACAGGTCTTTCAATGCTGTCCCAAGACCTTCGGGTCCTAGGAACTGGAATGACCAACCAACTTCTTTAGTTTGCTTTAAAACATAAAGCTAAGAGTCTGCTATTCCTTTGTGGACCTGCAAATCTTTCATTTTTAAAAGGTGCTGGTCAATTTAACTGTCAACTTGACCCAACCTAGAGTCACCTGGGAAGAGAGTCTTAATGATGAATTGCTTAGATTAGGGTGGTCTGTGGGAATATCTATGGGGTGCTTCCTTGACTTCTAAGTAATATAGGAAGTTCCAGCCTACTGTGGACAACACCATTCCCTAGACAGGGATCCAGAAGTATAAGAGAAGACATAGCTAGCATAGCAAGGGGCCATGCTTTTACGTCCTCTGCTCTTGACTGTGGGTATAATACTGCCAGTTTCTGCACTGACTTCTCTGATTTTTCTCAGACTATATGTCACAGCAACACAACTGAAAGGAGGACACCTTCTTTCAACTTTCTCAAGAGCTTAAATTGCAAGAATAAATGAACTATTCATTGATATTACTTCTTATGTAACACACACACACAAACACACACACACACACACACACACACACACACACACACACACACTTGCAGTTCTAACCCAAGTAAACAAATAGCAAACTGCTATTGATGGTATAAGGAGCATGCCATTCACAGAAACACTTCAAAGTAAAAAGCAGAAGGCAGCTTACCTTTTGAGTGAGTAGAGCTCGAACGACTTGGTTGGCTACCTATAAAAAGGAAGAAAGTTGTTGTCAGTTATAACAGACTTTCTATAAATGCATGCTCATTTACCAACAAATTTCCCACAGCTTCCAGCCTGTAATGAGCCCCTCATATCCCTCTTTTCTCTACCTGTGAAAGATCTCTCTTTTCATAACAAGCATGTCCTTCTGGGTAATATTTTTGCTATATCCAAAGGTGACCTTGTGGCTAATTAAGATGGTTCAGCTGGGAAGATAATTCACACCTTGACTTTCACATTTCCATATTTGGGGAAATAAGCTCCTTTCATATGTAAAGTACTTCATCAAAGCTAAAACACAAAGCAGTGAGAGACACCATCCTAATGATCTGTACACAATTTCCCATCTCACTGGTATATCATCTCCTTTAACTCTCCTTCCATTACTTTCCTGTCTTAATGTTCCTCTGTCTAAAATTACTGGAAATCCAGAAAGGCAGGCAGAAGAGAATGGGGCAGTCCATTTTTTGTGTGGCCTATGTCCTTCCTCTGTCTTCCCCTACATCCTCTTCTTGCGTTTGCCTCTTGTAACACAATCTGGTGGTTGTTAATTTATTCTGAAGCAGAAGGATCCCAGTTTTGACCCTGAGGCCTGGGCACATCCCAGCTCTCTTTTATTCCCATAGGACAGAGTTCCAGCCAATGAGATATAAGGAGACTATTTTTCTTGTGTGTAGGAGAGTCTTTAAGAAAAGGAGAACCTGGATTAATATTCCTTTCTTCTGTGTGGGGCTTGAAAGTAATGACTGATAGAGCCCAGCTATACACCTCATGGGGATACCTTCAAAGAACAAAACAATAAAATCACCTGTACACATGCTATAATAAAATTATGGAATCAGCCTTGGTATCCATCAAATGAACAAATAAAATGTATATCTACACAATGGAATATTATTTAGCTATAAAGAATGAAATCTTACTGGTATTAAAAGTAGATATCTATGGAATCATCATGCTAAACAAAATAATTCAAACTCAGAAAAAATGAATATAATATGCTTTCTCTCATGTGTGGAATCTATATTTTTAAGAAAAACATGAAACTGTATGGAGAGCTACTTGGGAAGAGAAAAAGGACCAACAGGATGGAGGAAGGGGGACAAGACAGGGTAAAAGGGAGATGAATATGATCAAAATGTTTTCTGAACATGGATGAAAATGTCATGACAAAACCTACCACTTTGTATTACTCATATATCCTAATTTAAAAAGTGATTTCTGGAATGTCAGCAGCTATCTTGACAACAAGCACCACATATTAAGTATATTTACTCAGAGAAATATAAAAAGCCCAAGGCCAATCTTGTCATCGGTTATATAGTTTGCTGCTCAACTTCCACTGAGCAAGAACCTGTTTCAATATTATTCTGAGTTTCTTGCAACATACAGCAAGCATAATCCTCAGTATTGTATTATTACTGTTTGAGGCAAGGTGTTAGTATCCCTGCCTGATCTTGAACTCCCTATGTAGCCAAGAATGACCTTGAACTTCTGACCCCTTTGCCTCTGCCTCCCAAGTGCTGGGAATATAGGCAAACACCACCCACCACACGGTTTATGTTTTGCAAGCTAGGCAAGTACTATATCAATGGAGCCCTAGCCTGTGTAGTCACTAATCTCTTAACAGAATTTCAATTTTCTTCAAGCAACTTGGGACCTCAGGGAAAGCTGGACTCCTCTTCAGACAAAGACCTGAATCATAATAAAGCTAAGCCAACTTTGACACTCTAGTCCCTTTCAGTGGCAACTAGAGGGAAAGACTAAAAACCATGTGTAAACCCAACAGTATTTCTCTGAGTTTTCAAGACCTGAGAAGCCTTCCATATAGTTTTTCACTATTTTTCAATATGGATGTTAAGATCATATTTACATTGCATATTTAAAAACACAATAAGTGTGGACATTGCTAATCTTCAGCATCACCTAGAAGTTATTTACCACATGATTACTGCTGATAAAATTAATTATGACTAATTAAAGTTGGTAGGGAATGTATAGTGGTCCATGCCCATAGACCTAGCACTGAGGTGGCTAAGGCAGGATCTCAATTTCAAGACAAATCTAGGCTACAATGGGAGATATTTTATCCAAAGTCTATATGAAGATATAGAACTTAATAGGTTAATTAGGGAATATTCCTAATATATGCTGTATGTACAATATAATTTGTATAATACAAAGTTAAATGTAATATATAAACTATATATTACAAGATGTTGCCTGTCTAACTGAATCTGACAACCATTAAAAAGAAAGTTAAGGACCCAGGGTAGCAGTTCTCAACCGTGAGTCTTGATCCCTTTTGTGATCAAACGACCTTTTCACAGGGGTCAACTAAGACCACTACAAATCACAGATATTTACATTATGATTCATAAAGGTAACAAAATTACAGTTATGAAATAGCAACGAGGTTAATTTATGGTTGGGGTCACCACAACATGAGGAACTGTATTAAAGGGTCTCAGCATTAGGAAGGTTGAAAAACACTGGCCTAGATTGATTGTTCAGTCATGTGTATTGAAGTTCAGATTCCCAACACCCACATAAGAAGTAGGGCATCCATACAAACACCTGTAACCCCAGCTTCAAGGTGAGTAGAGACAGGGAGGCTGATGGTGCTTTGTGGCTTCCAGCCCAGCCAAGACAAAATAAGTTCCAGGTTCAGGGAGAGTCCCTGCTTAAAAGGAATAGGTGGAACAAGATAGAGATATGGTTATTTTGGTTTTTGGTTTTTTTTTTTTTTTGCATTTTTCAAGGCAGCGTTTCTCTTTGGCTTTGGGGGTTGTCCTGGACCTAGCTCTTGTAGACAAGGCTGATCTCGAACTCACAGATATATGACTGCCTCTGCCTTCCGAGTGCTGGGACTAAAGTTATACACCACCACTGCCCAGCTGATAGACATGATATGTTAACTGACACTTCTTCTGTTCTTTTTGTGTGCACGTTGGGGCAGGCACCCCCACACATGCATACATACACTCAAACAAACACACACACAAATAAATGAAGAAGTGAAAACAAATAAAATATTTAGATGTCATAGAGTATAAGCACACTAGTTTGCATTCATTTCTTCCTTCAGTCATTCAGTAAAAAATTTCTAAACATCTGACAACTGGGATGTGGACACCTAGAGCAAAGATATAGCAGGCTGGTGGTTACAATCACACCATTAAACATGTCACACAGTGCATATATGTTATCATTATGGTGATTGTCAGATTCAGGCAGATTAGAAGGTATGCTTTCATCTACTTTTGCACTGGGTAACACATTTATTTTGGGGATGTTCATCTCTGTGTGCCTGATAATCTTGGAACACTTTGAATGTGAATGTTTTCATAGGGCTTAATTGTTTCTTGACTCAATATTGACAAAACAACACATCCTTCATGACAGTTGGCTACCAGCAAATCTCAGAGAAAATTAAAACATAAGCTAACACTGAGTTTTGGGCAGAAGGTATTTACTCCATGAGAAGTAAATAGTTAGAATCAAGACTATTCATAATTTATTACTTAAATCATATGCATAAAGCGTATTTCACCCAGTAAAACCTTTCCAAATTTACCCTGTTGACATTAAATAAAAATGGAAAGTTTTTCATTGAAACTAGTAATAGTCTTGAAGGAAAAAAGTATCTTTTAGAAATTTGCATACATTTACACATTGAGGTTGGGTGTGGTTGGTTGTAGTTGGGTGTGGTTGGGTGTGGTTGAGTGTGGTTGGGTGTGGTTGGGTGTGTGTGCATGCACCACATACATGGAAGCCAGAGACTGACAATAGGCATTTTCCTCAATTGCTCTCCCTCTAAGTTTTTGATTCAGGGTCTCTTACAAAAGCTCCCACAAAAGCTCACTGATGTGTGCTAGACATTCTGACTTGGGGTCTGCCTGTTTCGACCCCTAGCACTGTGGTAAAAAGCACACAGAAAGGCACCTGTTGGTTTATGTCTGCTCTAGAGTTCAAACTCAGTTATGCTTCTGTAGCAAAACATTTTATAGACTGAGATTTCTCCCAGCCCCCAAATCTTGGGAGGTTTTAAGCATTCATTCCAATTTATAAGTATCTGAGAGTTTAAAGTCAAACAATACATCACCTCTTTTACTGTTGGCAAATGAAGGAAAGTAGAAGGCTTGAGCTGTCTATGCAGGCAGAATTGGAGAACAATATACGAAAGTTAATTCAGATCATAAATAATTTACTTAAAAAAATCTCAGACTTGGATTTGATTTACTTGCTCATAAAACTGCCGAATATCAATATTTTCTTTTCTTCCTCCAAACGGGTTGCTTTCTTAAGCCACTCTGTGTTAACAGTGGTCACATAAAATGGCTGTATCTGTGATTTAATGGGGGGCATAGAGTAATATCCTAACCATAACAGCCCCTGAGAGGAAAAACTCTGTATCTCTGCACTCTGCTCCTTGCCCAGTGGGCTTACTGACTCTGTATTGGACAAAGTTCCCTCTGACATGTGTCCCTTGGACAATTGTTTGTCCTACCTGAAAATTGAACAATATTTTTGTAGCTACTGACACGGAGGTAGAAGTACCAGATGGACCTATGGATTCTCTGGGGAAGGAAGGTATGTATGCTTCCCTCTTTACTGTCGGTGAAGATGGCTTCTTAGCTTTCTTGCTGTTAACGGTCACCCCTCCCAGGTGTATCTCAGAGCTGCTGTTAGGAGCTGGTACCTTCAGTCTCTGATAGGCACACATGATGCTGCCAGGATATGGCCCTACCCACAGGGCTCCAGCAATCTGCCCTCAGCTCTTGGGTTGCAGATAATCACATCCTGCCAGGCCTGGTTAATGAGAACAAATAACTTCCAGGGGTACCTGGCAGCTTCCTCTCAGAAGAAAGGCAGAACAGCAGCTGGCCTGAGCCAGAGGGACCTGAGACAGTGGAACAGAGCTGACAGCTTTTCTGCCTCTGGGTTGTGGGACAAACTTGCCCATGTTTTCTGTGGAGACAGCCC